GCCGAGCTTGAGGTTCAAGCAGCTGTCCATTGTGGGAGGCATAGGCGGCATTGGGGGCATAGGAGGGGGGCCGTGGCGACCGTGAGGACCGTGAGGACCGCGGTGGTGGGGGCCGTGGGGGTGTCTGTGGTGTCCGTGGTGTCCGTGGTGACCGTGAGGGCCGTGGCCGTGCTCTCCGGGAGGACAAGGAGGAACAGGACCAGCGGGACCAGGAGGGCAAGGACCATGGCCCCATGGGCCGTGGTGACGGCCGCCGGGAGCATGGTGGCCATGGCCGTGACCGCGATGGGGATGAGGACCGAAAGCGTCAGGGCCAAAGGCATAACCGCAGGGACCGGAGTGGCCGAGAGGTCCGCCGAAGGGACCACCGTGGGGACCGCCGTGGGGGCCGCCGTGGTGGCCATGACCATGACCATGACCGTGGGCATGAGGACCATGGTGACCGTGGCGACCACCACGACCACCAAAGCCGCCGCGGCCAAAGCCACCATGACCGCCAAAGCCGCCGCGACCACCAAAGCCAAAGGGGAAGCCACGACCACACTGGTCGCGAGAGGCACAGTCACATTCGACGAACTCGGCCTCTTCGACGTCGTCGGCCGCGTTGAGATCTTCAGCCTCATGGGCCCCTTCAGCAGCTTCAGCCTTGTCACCGGCAGACTCAGAGATGTGCAACTTCTCGAGCTCGGGAACCGTCTCAGACGAGACGTGTTCCTCGCTCTGTGCACTCTCCTCGTTCTGACTGAGGGTGGGGACAGGCCCATGCTCCATGACGATGTCTGGAGATGGGACACTGTCCTTGCTGACGTTGCCCTGCCCGTCTTGAAGACTGACGAGGACGGGAGAGGGGGGCTGACTGGCGCTGTCCTGAGGGACGTTGCTGACGTTGCTGACTTTGTGGGTCATGGTGTAGTGTCTGACTAGAGCTGACTGACTGACGTAGGGTAGCGAGAGTATGTAGGTAGGTAGGGAAGAACTTCTTAGACGAAACTATGAAGAACTATGGAGCGAAAGGGGGAATACTGGTAGAGTGAGAAAGGAGGGAAGGGGTGGGTGGGTTGGGTCTTTCTTGACGAGAGAGATGGGCTTCTTATATACCTTGCAAAGTGGGTCTTATCGCCACCCGATCGCTGGAAAGTCCCTCACAAGTATCAGAGCGCTGAGCGCAGAAGCGCAGTCGCGCCGTCTGCCGGCGCACTTGCGCGTCCAACTCTGCGCAGTCGAGATCGGCGCCCGACTCAGGAAATTTAAGGCACGCTCGGTTCCGTCGGTTAATCTGGTCCACTGTGACTTCTTCCAGCTGCATGGCGATCATGCGCCATGCAATGCATGTGCCGTCTTTGCCCAGCGCATGGGGAAGACAGACTGCGCAGAGGACTGCTATGAGACAAAGCTCAGGGTCTCAGAGAAGCTGCCATTTTGACCAGTCACCGTATACCTGGTTTGAACTGGTACGTGCTGGTCTTATCTCGCACGCTCTGGCACAATCCTCGGTCTTTCCTCATATCTCCTCGTTTGTTCGTTGTCTACCGCCTGCACTACCCCTACCCGATGCCCAAGCTCCCGGTGATATTTACTGCAATTCATAAGTCATTACTAATGATCATACGCCATGTGTTCCACTATAACCTAAGATAAGTGATTCGAAATAAGGAAAGTGCTGAGATTACTATACAATAGAGTGTGAAAACAAGGGCCGAGGGCCAGCTCGACTACTCAAGAAGACTCAAGAGAAACGTGTAGTTGAGGAACCTAAATGCGATGAATTACTGAGTGTCGATGAAGTGTAGTTGAAGAGATCCGTGCACTGCCGTGCGTAGCATGCGCAAAGCCTGGTTAACGGTGAGATGATTCCGCCTAAGACATGATAGCCTGGCTGGTCTTCTTCCCGAAGAGATTGAACTTGCTCCTCCTGTCCGCTCCAGCGCGTCCAAACGCCTTGCGCGCATTCTTAATGCTCTCCATCGAGTCGACGCCGACACGACGCTGCTGCTCGATCATGAGGGCCTGGAACTTGGCCAGCTTCTCGGCCTCCTCGTCCTCAGCCTCCGATCGACCGACAGACGCCATGAACTGGCTGCTCTCGCGGCGGGTCCATGTCCGCGCGCGCTCATTGTTGCCAGAGCTGAGGGAGGCGACGCGGGCGCCGATGGCCGGACCGAGGGAGCCGCCGAACGAACCAGATCCGAGGGGAGGGCTGCGTTGGATGCCACCCGAGCGAGCCTCAGGGGTGACCTCTGTCGCGGCGCGCTTCTCGTACAAACGCACGACGGGCTCCTTCAACGACGACATGGAGCTGGAGCGGGCCAACTTCGTGTTCAGCGTGTAGGACACAACCTGCGATGCAAGGGTCGGCTCGGCCTCGTTCGACGTAACGAGTACCTCGTCCTCTTCCTCCTCCTCCTCCTCCTCGCACGACGGGCGGAACTGGAGCCCATCCTCGGGCAGAGCGGGGAGAGTTGTCGACTTGGAGTTGCTGATCAGCGAACCGCAGATCGAGTGCCGCCGGTCGTCACTGCCCATCGACGAGAGGCTGTCGCGGACACTGTCGCAGGGCGTAGCGGGGTATGCCGATGTGGCTTCCGAGTTTGTCGGGCTAGACGCACGGGGCGTAGACGGCAGAGAGAGGTGCGGCGGGGCATGCGCCGGTCGTCCCGGGAGGGGCTTCTCCGGCGGAGGCAGCATCGGCGGCCGCGAAGAGGCAGATGACACATTCGTGCGCGTTGTGCTAACCGACATGATTGAGGCGGGGCGCCGGCGCTTCAACCACGGCTCCATCTCGACTGCGGGCGCGTTGGAGATGTCCAGGGCATTGAGCAGGTCGTCGGCGAGCTCCTCCGCGTCAAACTGCGTCGTGACCGGGCGCGCGCGCTGCGGGGCCCTCGTGGGCGAGGACGTGACCGCAGCCTTCATCTGGTCGTAGGGCGCCGTGAAAGATCCACTGCGCAACCGCCTCGTTGTCACGTCGATACTGCTCGCGCCGAGCTTGAGGTTCTGCAGTTGGTTGCCAGCGTTGCCGTTGTGTTGCGTGCTGTCGTCATGCCCGCCACGCCCTGAGTCGGGGAGAGACCCGTGACCGGCAGGCGGCGTGTTGGTGTGCGACTGATGGCTGCCGCCCGCGCCCTCGTTGCTCATTACAGATCCAGGGCGTCGGCGGTTGTTCTGTCGCGAGGAGCTCGCGCTCTTCGCCTGGTGGATCATCTGCAGAGCGCGCGCCTGCAGGTTGTACTCGCCCGCGAGCGTCGCGACCTCATACACGCCGACGGAACTCGAGGGACGAAGTCGCATGTGCAGCGCATGCGTGACGAGCTTGTTCAGACGCTCAATCTTGTACTGCTTCGACAGGAACAGAAGCGCAGTCAAAACAGGCGACCGTGTCTGCAGCGGCGTTGACAGCGACAGCGTGTAGAAGTACTGGATCAGCGCCACGCACACCGGCAGCGGCTCAGGCAAGTGCAGTGATGTCGGTGTGACGCGTGCAGGCGACAGCGAGCCAAGCAGCGCCTCGTTAATGTCGAGCGCCGTGTCCTGCACCGCCTCGGCGGCCTTGGTCATGATCGCACTCTGCTGCTCGGCGAACCACGGCCACCGCTCTGCGAGCACCTTGCGCGAGCACCGCACCTTGCGCCCGTCCTCGGCAATAAGCTCGAAGTCGGACACGAGCTTCTCGTCAAGCATGCTGAGGCCGATGCCCTGCGTCTGGTCAGAGAGAACGCGCCGCGGCGGCTGGTAGATTCCATACGCCTCGAGCTCGATGATCGCGTACTGGTCGAAATTGACCGCACGCTTGCCGTAGTCGGCAGCGAGATCATGGTTGGCGTTACCAAACACGATCAGCTTCGCAGTCTCAGGGCAGATGACCGCACGGTTCCAGCTTCCGCTGGACAGAACTGGCGGCTCGAGGTGCTTCCACTGCAGCGTGTGCAGGTCGAGCGTCCAGATGGAGAACGCAGCGGAGGTCGACGCGAGGTAGAGACCACACAGGATGAAGTGGTGACCAACAATGCCGCCGGCGGGGAAGCGCAATCCGGGCGGCTGCGAGCTCCCTGTCATCTTGACCGACATGTCGTGGATTGTGAAATCAGGCGGCGCCTCGAACTTGTCCGACTCGATCTCGGGGGCCTCGGCACCGTCCAGAGGCGAGACGACCTCGAGCTCTCGGCGAACCTTGGCAAAGTCGTAGTTCGAGTAGCACCAGATGTCGCCGCCGCCGCCGTCCTCTTCGACCGTGTACGGCAGCGCTGGCGATCCCGTCATGAGCTGCGCTTCCGGGACAGGCACAACGACGCGCAACGTCGAGCTCACAGCAACCGAGCGGTACGCTCCCTTCGAGTGCATGCCGTGCGACTCGGGCTGCTCCGTTTTCGAAACCCAGGCCTGTCGCTTCAGGTCGAATGTGTTGATCTCGTAGATCCACGAGTTATCAGAGCGCTGGCCGCCGCAGACGATCAGCTGACCCCGCGACACGGCACTAAGGTGCGCGTAGCGCGCTTGTGGGATGAACTCTGGGTTTGGCAGCTGGAATGTTTCCGAGCCATCCATGCCCAGCCCGATCGGCGACTCGGGCCCCGGCTGCGGAAGCCATCTTCGTGCGCGGCAGTCGAAGAACCACACATCGTTGTGCACACAGAGCGAGTCCGCGTCGCTCATGCCTCCGAAGCAAACGAGCTTGTCCTCCCAAACGTCCATCGAGTGGAAATACCGGGGTCCCGGGCCCTGTCCGGCGTTCACGCGCGACCACGTCCGTGTCGTCAGGTCGAGGGCCCACATCTCCGACGTCAGTTTCCGAATCGGCACAATCTTGCCGCCGAAAAGGAAGATGGTTGGGGGATGCGGCGCAGGGAGCGGAGAGAGGGTGACTGAGGGGCCCTGTCGTCAGATCTGACCTTGAAGTTAGAGGAACTCACGGTGAGAGGGAGGGGAACCTCGCCATGGGTATTCTCAAACCAGCTCGTGAGCTGGGAGTTGTCGGTCATGGTTGAAGGATGTTTCAGATGATTCTGGAGATGAGGTGGATGCGAGATTGCAAGAGGAGAGGCCTAGTGAGCTCGAAGGGGAGTGAGCAGTGTCACCCTAGGCCGGGGCGCACGACTAGACTGGAATGTAGATTAACGGCGCGCAACTGTGAAACAAGTCAGCAAACTGCACGATTCCAGCTGAGCAAAGGTGTGTGCGGAGGACACGATGTGTGCGCAGCTGCGACGCAACGCAACAATCGCGCCCGGTGGTCGGGGCAGAGTCGTCCCAGCGAGGCAAGCGGATGCAAGCGCGAAGCGCAAAGCTGTCCATTGGCGCGGACGTGCGTACGATCGAGACGAGTGGGGTCGTTGGCCGTTGGCTCGAGGCGACCGCAAGCCGAAACCGCGGCTCGCTCTCCGCATACGGTTCACGGGAATTGGCTCGGGGTCATTCGGGCGACAGCACACATCTCATACCGTCACGTCTCACGTCTCACTTGCAGTCATGAATGCGATTCAAGTGACGCGAGATGGGCCGGACGGGCGTGCGACACCCGGCGATCTGTCCGTCTCGTGTGTACACGTCATGTCGCGAGACTGCTGACAAGCGCACAATCAAGGAGATGATGAATTGAGGAAGCGCCCGAACTGTATACTCTTATACTCACTCAAAGCAAAGTTTATACGTTGAGCGCGTCTAGCAACTGTGTCAGATTCGTACGTGATCGCGGCGAAAGCGAGATCAGGCGTTGCGTTGCGATGCCTTGTCGTGTGGCTCGAGCTCGTGTGTTGCCTTGGTTGCAAAGGTGTCAAAGTCGCGGCGCGAGAGCGGAGAGCGTCAAGGCGTCGAGGCGTCGCGAGAAGGAAGGCAACGGTCGCGTTGGAGGGAAGACACGAGATTGCAAGAACAAAGTCGAGAGCAAGAATGAGGCGAGTGGAGTGATCGGGGAGGAAGTATTCGCAGAAAATTGAGAAAGAGGAATGCGATGACGATGTTGGGCGCCGAGCTCAGGCTGTAGGCTTGGAAGTTGGGACGATGTCGGGGCCTACTTGCTCCAAGGACGTAAGGGGGGGCAGGGGTCGGTGGGACAGGGGCTGCTTGGGAGGGAAGAACCGTGCGGTCGTCGGCGGTGCGAGTGTGGTCGGGACGAATGTGTGTGTGTGAGAGAGGGTGCACAGATGACGGGTGAAGATGGTTTGTGATGTCGAGAGATGTTGGATGGAGCGAGAGAGTCGTAGGAGAAGAAGAGAGAGGGAAGGATGGATCAGAGTGGGCCTGGCTGGCTGGGTGCAGCGTGCAGCGTGCGTCGAGGATGAGGTCAGGTCATGTCAGAACTGGCGCAGGCTGCAGCCAGCCCAGAGCCAGGAACGCACCCGGCTGGACCGCGCGAGGGAGAGGCCAGAGGGAATCCCTGTCGCAGCGCAGGCCCGAATTCTTAGGGAAGACTAGGGACCAGGGTGTGTGCGGTCCCAGGGTTCAGGGCACAGACCACGGCCCCCAGTGCTCCTCCTGTGCCATTTCCTCGCGACTTGCGTACTCTCTCTCATTGCATCGTCCCCCCATCCTGCCTCGAGTCTTGTCTCGCATACTCTCTCTTCGGTGGTCCATACCACGGTTCTTTCACAGAGAACAAACACACACACAAGATTCTGGCTTTGCTGAACTCCAAACTCTGTTCTCGGCGAGCAGGCATATTCGTGAACATGAGGAAGGCGACAAGGACGGGAGTGCGACGAACAACTTCAATCTCGCTCGGTGGCGAATTGCTCGAGACAAGTCAAGGGCGATCAGCATTGAGCCGGGCCTGTGAATGAGTGAATGGATGCCAAGGCTGCCAGTCGTGCCGACTGGCGTCATGCCCAACCGAGCCTTCCCTCTTCTCTCCGTTGTTCCTCGTGCGCAACCGAGTCCACACATCCTCACAATCCTCGCATTCAATGGCTCGGACGCAAACGGAAGGTACACGCTGCCCTCGACTCTCTGCGTCCTCCTCCATGTGCTCATGCAGATGGCCAGGCGGGAAGATGAGCGCCAGCGCCTCACCTTGTTGCGACGCACTGTCGTGGGCTTGGCGCGGATCAGGTTGGCTGAACAGCGACTTGCGCCCCGCGCAAACTCCTACTGAACCCGCTCAACTCAGCCCAGCTCATGCGGCTCAAGCCATGCAGCCCCACGGCAGCCAACACAGCCAAAGGATTGACCCGAGACCCGAACCGCTGCAGAGGAGTGGGTACGGAGGCATGCGTGAGCTCGTGTCCCACCTGGTTGTCGTCCCGAAATTGAATAGCCTTCGTGCGCCAGGCCGAAGGGCACTGCACCCAGCCAGGCAGTTGCAGAGCCCACAGCCCACGACGACAGAGAGATACAGAGGGTCAAGGGCCGTCCTCCCGGGTAGAGACAGATTGCATTAACCTACGCCTCTAGCGCTGCCGTCTGAGCCGTCTCTTGCAGCCTGTCAGCCAGGGTAAGGAGGGTTGGAACCAGGGTCCAAAGAGGGAAGGCACGGCAAACGGATCAATGTGCAGTCCGCTGGAGTCGTACATGACCTTGCGAGCGAGCCATCAGGCCTTGTCTCAGCACCGTCCATTGAGCCAGCTCAGATCCTCCAGCCTCGCCCAGACTGCTAAACTGCTCCGGTGTGCTTGCAGAAGAGGGAGTGGCCCAGCTGCCAGTGCGGTGATGGTCACTGACGTCGTCAGGGCCGAACAACCACGCGTGACAATCCACTACCCACAACTGCACACAGCCGAGCTGAATACGGTCGTCGTTGAATAGTAACGCACGAGAAACCGTCAAGCTGCATGTCTCATGCGTTCATACCCTCCCAACAAGAGGTCAATTGGGCCTGCTGCGGTGCGCTCCTCGTTCGTGATCCTGGCGGAGTTGTCACCGGTACTCATTCCGGCTCCGGCCCCCTATCCATTGTCTCAGGTGTGGCCGTTGACTGCGCCGCTGCGCCGGTGATACTTCCGACGACAGACTCAGCCTCCGACACAAACCCAAGGACACCCCAAGGATCAGAGAGGGGAGGTGCACAGACATCAGCGATGTTTGGAGCCCAGATCGAAGTCTCACATCACATCGTACGCACGCGCGCATAATGAAAACAATGTTGCACCATTCCTGGGAATCAAAGTATTGAATGGCCCTCACCAGTCACAACGGTCGGACTAAACTGTGTTTTCTGCCAATTCAGACCCGGAGCAGAAGTCACATCCGGCACGTCTGACGCAGCTGCATTCAGCCTCTTAGCGGGGCTCGCCGCATCCAGTAATGTCGAGTTGCACGCGTGAATGAAGACCTCGACACGAGTGACGCGCGGTTCGGTAACTCTATGCGCATGCTCAATCCAGCGAACACCTCAACAAGAGACACCTCGGTGAGACACGAAAGGCTGAAGAGGGCTGGCAAACGGCCGTGCATGCAGCCATGCAGCCCAGTCTCGCCTCAGTTCGGTGCGGCGGTGCAGATCCGCCGTGATGTCGGCGCCACACTTCCGACGCCGCACAGTCGGAAGCGTCGACCCCACTCTGGACCTATGTCGGACCCAGTACTCAGGCATCCGACGTCCCGGAACGCCTCATGAGTTGATTTTTCCTTCGCTTCAAATCTGTTTTCGGGGTCCGCGACTTGTGAGCCCTCGATGCCCTCGACAGTCGCCCTGCTGGCCCTGCCCAGAGTCCGTCTGATACACCCGTCATCGATTTTCGCACTTCCGCAGCCTGCTTCCTCAGATCAACAGGATGCAATACCTAGATTCGTCCAGGTTTGTGTCCAGGAGTGAGGTTATCCGCAGTCACTAGTCTTCCCTTTGTATTGTCTCCTTCCGAAGCGACGGTGTTGTTTCTGATGATCTACTCTTGCGAAGTCTTGAGAATCTCCTTCATGAAATCCATCGATCATGGTGGGTCCCGATCTTTATGTCTTTCGGGGCTCGTTGGGGGTACAGGATGTGTGTCCCGATCATGAGGACAACCAGGACCTGTGCTGTAAGAAGGCCGATTGCGAGGACAATGCCGAAAAGTCCTCAGGACCGCTATCGTTGATTGAGTATGACGACGCCAAAGCACGACGCTCGTCGGAACCGGTCTCCGAGTGGTCAGTCACCGCCTAGCCTAGCCTTCCCACGGCCCGACATACCGTGTCCCATGCAGTACGCCTTGGCCCATGCAACATGTAGCGAGGTACGTCGGGCGTCCTTCTGTGCAGACACGCAACGTAAGAATAATCGACTTTGGAACGAAGCACCGACCCAAGACTACACCGAACACACGCCAGCCTTCTGCCACGCAAGAGTAGGGCACGGACGTTGGGTTTAGACTCAGAGTGACGACGCCCATTACACGCGTGTTGCAACGACGCGCGCTGCCAACGTAAAGATGAACATGCCGTCAGGTCAGTTATAAGGTCAGTTCAGGCCAGGTCAGGTCGTGAGGAGGTAAACGAAGGCACTGAACTTCTGTCGTGTTCTGGATCTCCAATCGGTGCCAGAATGGAAGAGCTGGTTCCCTCTCCACTCGTCGCCTCGACGATCGATCATTTGTTGAGGACTGCGACAGACACTCCGCCAACACCCCTCGCTCTACCTCCGCTATATGAGAGCTCGTTTCTGCGAAAAGCTGGAGATCCGGCCTCTGACAGTGCCACAGTCTCACAGCTGCATGTGATTACGAGGAAGTCCATTGCGGAGATTTGGGTCGTGCCCGAATGCAGAGCCACAGTCGAGTCCAACGGGGCATCAGTTGCCTCTTCGAGCAGCCCGGCACGGGGTTACGAGGCACCAGCCCATCGGAAGATGGAGTTATGCATGCTGCTGATCTGCGTCTGGGCCGCATAGCCAGATGCATAACGCTCACCGCCTTCGGGCATTTCCCAGCGGGCAGCGGTCCTATCTGCGGTTCGGTGCGGCTGCGCGGGTCGCAGGCCGGAACCCGCAGCCCATGGCCCGCCATAAGCCGTAGACACGAGGCCCCGGGACTGTTTGCCGCCATGCTGCCGCCACGCCGCCATGCCGCTGCCGCTTCTTGTCCTTCCGTTGTTTGCCGCGAGACGGGCGAGACGGGCGAGGCGCGAGGTTTTAGGGGAGGTTAGGAAGAGATCCCAGCGGAATCTAGCGTTAACCTTGTTTCATCCCCGCACCCGGGGAAGTTGGACCGAAGCTTGATTGCCTTTCGCGCACACGTCCTTGCCTTCTACGCTCTGGATCTGTACGTATCGATACGTAAAGGATTGTCATGTTGTGGGGAATCATGCATGTTTCTTCCGACGAGGGGAGACTGCTTCCAAATGCTAGAGAGGGAAGGGCTGGAGACGCCTTGGCTAGATCGGTTGCGCAGAGTCATGCCGCACGTGATGATGCCGAGACTATTCACTACGTCATGAACATTTATCTACGTACAGGCTCGTCCGGCCGTCACTGCTCACGGTTTCGAGATGCTTGCAATGATCAATCGCTTGTGCGTCGTCGCATATGTCTGAAGAGAGGACCAGAGTTGACTGAAAGTCTCATGCTATCCGATGAACCCTCCGCCTTCCTCGCTTCTCCCAGCCCCTCGCCTTCCTTGCCGTCTACGCAGGCCTTCTTCGTAGCCACCGTTTAAGGAGGGCGCGCGGGTCATTGTGACCAAGCCCCTCTCTCGCCCGAGGTTCCAGGGAGCTTATCCTCAGACTCGAATCGAGAAGCTGTACGGGAAGCAACAGGATAGCACGGCATGCCGCCGATCTCTCGCCACGCAGTCCGTACGATTATCACTTACTCCCTGTCTCATCGCTGGCCAGAGCTCTGCAGTTGCGCCACGTCTGAGTAACCGGAGAGCCTCATCTTCCGACCCTCAGTGCAGCTTCGCAGAGAGAGACTCGCACGACGCTCCAGCTCCTCCCAACGCCCGAAACAGCCACGTGGCTCTTCGTTCTCCTCCTGTCCCGCGCGTTCGGACGAAATTCCAGAGTGCGCCGCCGCAGTGCCTTGGCTCAGCGGTTAGCATCATTGGATCGATACCCAAGTCCGGTTTAAGGGGCTCGACTCAAGTCGATAGACTTTGTCCGACAGGATTTTCGAGTGCGTAAGCATCGTGGGTTCGAATCCCACTCGATTCAGCCTTTTTAGCTTCCACGCTCGAACCGGAGGAAGATGAGAGCTCGAGGTGCAGCGAGACCAGGGAGAGGCCTGTTGCTGAAATGACACACATGCATTAGGGCTATTGGCATGGGTATGGCGATATTACGATGGGTGGGGGGTAGACATGCAGTCCGGTTCACAAAGTCTTCACAGGTACTAATACGATACACACGAAACGTCTCCTCTCTCTATAGACACACTTCTCTCCCTGTTACACAGCACTCACAATCACTCACATGAGCCCACCGACAATCTTCTGACTAGCTGGGGCGCAATAATCCCCCCTCCGCAAGCCCTTCCCGTTGCCGCGATCCTCGTCGTCTTGGAGGATGGGACCGTTGCCGGAGTACTTCGCCGAGCCCGGGGTCGCGTATGGGTGCAAGTGGTCCGGACCTGCGTTCATGGTATTCAGGACGTCGTCGAGGCGCGCGTGCCCGGCGTGCTTCCTAAGCTCCCTCTCGCGCGGGGTCATGGTGCCGCTGCGACTGCTGTTGGTCGATGCCTGGCTGGATTGGATCGGCTGCTGCGGCTGCGGTTGCGGCGGCGGTTGCCTCGGCTGTGTGCTTCTCTTGGGCGAGGACTTGGTCGACTTCTTGGGCGACTTGGGCTTCTTCGTGAGTCCCTTCGACTGCTGGGCTGGATGCACGACCGGCCCCGAGAGCGCGGGGGGCATGACCTGGTACGGGCCAGGATTGTACTGCCTCCTAGGCTGCATGATGGGCGGGCCGCCACGGAGTCCGTCCTTCGTCTTTCTTGACGACGGGTCATGGGTGGCTAACTCGCGCTCGGCGGGGGTATCGTCGAACCCGAACGTGCCCTTTGGCACGCCGAGCGGGCCGTCGAGGGGCCCATCGCTCGGATCACTCGGCATCGGCGAGTTGAGGTCCGTATCCTCGTCGGCGAGGTCTGTGTCCGTGTGCTCGTCCGAGTCCGGCGGGCCCTCGTCGTCGCTCTCCGTGTCCCACACGTTGGGGCCGTAGGCGGCGTCGCGGTCCCCGTCGCTCGAGAGAGCTGGGGATTCGTACCCGTCCGGGCCCCTGTCCTTGTCCCTCTCGGGCTTGTCGCCCTTCTTGCCCTTCCGGCCCTTCTGGCCAGGTCCAGCCTCGCCGCGCTCCGCCGCACCCGCATCGTCGAATTGCTGCGATGGCCCAGCGTCGTCGAGCATCTCGTCCTCGGCGCCTTCTTCGGCTTCGTGCGCTGCTCGCTTGCCGCGCTTCGTCCCGCTCAGCTCGCCGCGGCGCGCCTCCTTCCTCAACTCCTTCAGTTCGCTCTCGCGTTGCTTCGAGTCCTTCTTCCGCTCTGCACTCGTTAACAGCAGGTCGCGCGCAAACTTCTCCTTGTCCAAGTACTCCTGCTCTTCCTCGTCCGGGATCGCCTTGATGATGTCCTCGACGTTCTTGTCTGTGCGCCGGAAGAGCTCGTCCTCCATCGCATCCCAGACCTTGGTCTTGAACTTCTTCGGCTCCTTCTTCTTCCCGTCCTTGTCCTTGCCATCCTTGTCCTTCTTGTGGTGACGGTGGTGGGACGAGGAGCCGTGCTGGTCAGAAGAGGAGTCGTGCTGGTCGTGATGGGAAGAAGAGCGGGAGGAGCGGCGGGAGTGTGCGTGGTTCGCCTCCTCGGGCAGGCGGCCCGCGTTCGCATCCGACTCGGACAGGCGCCCTTCGGCCTGGGCCTGGTCGACGTGGGGCGTATCTGACTGCCCCGCCGAAGCCGAGCTCGTCGCACGTTTCCGCCCGTGGTGGTGATGGTGCTTCTTCATCTTCCCGCTCTTGGTATAATCGTCCTCGTCCCTTTCCTTGGGCGCCTTGTACCCCGGCGGGCGCACCTTGCCCTCAGTATCCATGTTACGCCGTCGGAGTCGCTGCTCAAGCTTCTTGCGGCGCGAGTGCGGCGGCTTGGTCAGATTCTTGAACCGCTGGTGGTGCCATTTCTTGTAGCTTCCGCCCTCGAGCTGGATATGCCACCTCTCGAAGCGTTTCAGGTCATCGCCTTCGAGTCCCAGCAGCGTCGAGGAGAGCACGAGAATCTCGGCAAACGTGCTCCGATACCGGCGCACACGCGTGAGCATGTCGTCGTCGTACGAGTCGCCCGAGATCAAATTCGTGTCCTGCTCGAGCTGGCGGATATGCTCCTGCTGCGCCTCGGTCGTGTGGTTGCGGCGGTTCTGTTCCGCGTCCTCGCTCTCCTTAAGCGCATCATCGCCCTCGTCGCCCTCGCCGTACAGCTGGAATGCGTCTCTTATCTGCAGATTCCGGTCGGCGACTAACAGTGTCTGGGCGAGGTCCTTGTCCATTGAGTCGATCAGCATTTGGCGCGCCTGTGCCTCGAGCCGGGTCACGCGCCCGATCAGCTGCTTCAGCAGGTAGAACTCGATCTGCTCCCGGCGCAGAGGCTCGTTCAGCCACTCGTTCTCGTCGTACCCGCCCTTTTCGCCGTGATGGGGGTCGTCGCACTTGGCGTTCTTGTGCCCGTGCTTTCCGTCGACGAGTGACTTGAAGCAGCGGTCGAGCAGCTCCTCCTTGGCCGATTTGTGAGTGTTCTTGTCCAGAACGCTGTTCACCATCTTGTCTTCCTCGTCAGGTCGGATCTCGGCGGGGATCCCGTCCACATTCTCGTACTGATCGTCCTCGTGCTTCTCGTGGTGGTTCTCGTCGAGTGTATCGCTGTTTGACTGGCTGTTCTCGTGCTTCGAACGCCTTCGGTCGTACCCGGTCTGATCCTTATCGGATTGATCCTTGAGCGACTTCTTTTCATCGTGCGGCGTCCCGTCCGGCGATTCTTCCTTGTCGAGCTCATCGTCCATGGAATCCTCGTCATCCATGTACCCAGCCTCCTTAAGGCTGTCGATGTACAGGCGGCGGACCTTCTCCCATCGGCGGTGGTGTCGAAGCACGAAGTGCGAGTGCGGCGCGAATGTCTCGGGATCGCGTTCTCGTTCGAGAGCTGCGGATGATGTCAGTGACGATCCCTTCCTCAGACTCACAGAGCATGTCGTCCGTGAACTGGTGCTGCGTCAACGTGTACAGAATACCCGTGACCGTCTGAACTGCGAAGTTGGTGACAACCGGGACGGCCATGAGGGCGTAGCAGACCCAGAAGACGCGTCCTGCGGCGGTCGCGGGGGTGAAATCGCCGTAGCCGATGGTGAAGGACATGACCATGACCGAGTACAGCGCGTTGCTGCTTGTCAGCTATGAAGGCGCTCATCAACTCACCCGTAGCCCCATCCCTCGACAAAGTGGAACACCATGGCGCCCAAGCACCAGAAACTGAACATGCTGAGAAGTGCCCACACAAGGTCCCAGAGCTGGATCAGGCTGCGGTGTCAGTCTCTCGGAAGTCACAAGAGTTCACGTACGATTCCTGATGCAGGTTGATCTGGTGCAGGAGGGCGATCTCGTCGATCAGCGTGGCGTACGGCTTGCGTCGCACAGCGCTAGTGTGGACGGCGACAGAGTACTTCTTAAGCCACTTCTGGCGGCGCTCAACGGCACGGCTCTGGACCCAGTCGATCGTGATCGAGACTGCGTTACCGAGCTGCGCGAGGGTGAGGACGGCAAAAATGAAGAGGAGCACCTTGCCCCACGCGGTCTGGACCGTGATGTCGCCGTAGCCGACAGTGAGCGCGGTTTGGATCGAGAAGTAGATGGCGTCGAGGTAGCGCCAGTTCTCGAGCTGGGAGAATGCTAGCGCCTCCAGGCCGACGAGCACCGTGAAGCCAGTCACAGACAGGAGGAACTTCCGGCCGGTCAGGCGGAACTCTTGGTCGTCCCCCGAGTCGAACGGATGTATCTTGCCCAGGAGCCAGTGCAGAAACAGTGCGAACGCGATGCTTCCGGAGATGAGGACTGAGAACACGGCGCACCAAAAGCCTTCGCTGAAGTCTGAGTCAGGTGGCCGCGGCTCGCCGGCACCAAAGATGAACAGGTTGCAAAGCGCGACAATCGCCTTCAGTATCCAGAACACGATCGAGAGGTTGGCGGCCCGTTGCCAGATGCCGTGGAACGAGGAGAATCGCAGGAGCAGCAAGACCATGGCCACAATGTTCAGCGCAAGCGACGCCGAACTCAGCGCGACACACGCCTGACGGTCCGGAATCGGTTTGTCATCGCGGACGTACCACGGTTGCTGTGGATGTCAGTGGGGCCACACGGTTACCGCTTACAGCGAGAGCTGGAATGTCCAGCAGCGTCGACATCGGGGCCGCAACGGCTGCCAGTAGAGGACTGTACTTGGCCCATCCCTTGAAAAACCATGATATCCAGTTTGAAAGCACGAGGAAGAACCTGCCGACTGGCCCCTTGTGCTTCTTCTTCTCCTTCAAACTGGCGGATTCGTTAGACAGAGACCCCGAATCGTTGCCGAATTGCGGGATGGAGGCGGTTGCATTGAGCTCCTGCCTGGAGGAGGAGGAGCTCGACGAGTTGCGTCGTCCGCCGTCGCCATCATCGCAGGCCATGTCGGTGTCGGTGGTGGTATCGGGCGAGGTCGGACGACATGGGAGTTGCAAAAACGGAAATTAAGGGAGGTGCAGTTGACAAGCAAGCATAGCGTTGCCGGCGACGGAGCAACGGACAGGGGGATCAGTCACTAGTGGTGCCGCGGGCAAGGGGGTGGGGTCTGACGGAGCGAGCGACCGAGTGGATGAAAACAAAGACCGACTCAGGAACGGGAGTGGTGTTTCCACCGCTCATCACCCGCGTCATAGCAAGCAAGCCCCTCCCTGGATCCTGGGACGGGGCAGGGCCGATGCCATGAGCTCAACGAGAGAGGTTGCGGGGTATTGCCGCATTTGCCGCCCTAGTCTGGGCCAAGCCAGACGCGTGCATGTGCACACGCGTGCACCGATGGTTCGTTCGGTCTCCATTGGAAAAGAGCACAGCGCACACAATGTTGTGACGACGCACACAGGGAATCACAAAGAGGAGTATCAGATAACGGAGGCGGCAAGTGACCGCGGTGCGGCAAGCCATGTCTCGGTGTATCACGACCCAGAAGCATCGTCTTGGCGAGGCCAGACTCCGGACTGCTGGGGTGCAGGGCGACGGTGCCTTAGTACAGTCTGCTTTTCAAGGGATCGGCTAAGATTAGAAACGCACCTCTTCCGTCGCTTCCCTGATCATGCTCGTTGTCAGCATCAGCTGGTTCACTTAGGGACATCTTCATTGGCTGCGTATAGAGAGGTGAAGTGACCCTTGCTTAACAAAAGCCGGCGCGTGCAGAACAAGTTACGGACCTGGGCACACCAGTCAATGGAAGCGGTGTCACTTGCGGGCCGTTCCGTTTGATTAACTGTTCCTGCTGGGAGGATCGATGCGGCATTGAGACGACGTCACGAGAGCATGGAGCAGGGCAGGCAAACTATTCTGTGAAGGGGAAAGTACGGCACATGAGTTGTGCCAAGCCACGGAGATCGAGACGACAGCCCAAGCTGGAGCACCAGCCGACGGCGGAGTGCGGGGCCAGTCGGTGGTGAAACAGTCAACAAGATGTGGTGGGTGGTCGAGTTGTTTGTCTGGTCCTCCCCTATACTGCGGACAGAGTCAGCGGTGGTGTGCTCTTCTGTTAGCGCCCCTGGCGGTTGAGCTGACTCTGCTGACTTATTTGGCGGGTCAGCAGCCGAATTCGGATCCGAGATGGGAATACCACGCAAGTGTCAAGGCCGTCGGTCCGCCCTCTTGTCCCGCAGGCTGCCTGCACCTGTCTCTGAGATCCCCACCATCCAGTTGCGTGCTGCCCTATGCCCATGGCCAGTGACTATTCCACATATCGACTTAAGACATGAACAAATGACTGCCTGAAGAAGCCTCTTCTCCCGTCGATTTCCTTATCCCTCGTTGTCACTTGGCACAAGTCCTGCGACTCAACTTGTCAACACAACACCGCCTTCCGCGACCTCCACCCACTGACTAGTGCACCCCTTTTGGCGATCTACATCCTCTCGCCTTCCTTCTGTCTTTCGGTTCGCGCCTCGCATAGTCCTTCACCATCACTCGCTCTCCGCGCTTCTCCTCGCTCGACAAGCCCGCGATGGAGCCAGTCCCTCCCGGGCTGTACAGCGGCACGACCCGCAAGCAGAATGTAGCTTGTGATGCTTGCCGCAACAAGAAGATCAGATGCAAGCGGCAGACCACTTCCCAGCGCGTACGTCGACTTCGGAACCGATCGGCCATACTGACAACAAGTGTGAACAATGCGTCAGCAAGGACCTGGAGTGCACGTCAAACTACATCGAGCAGCTGCAGAACAAACCGCGGCGTCCGCGCAGGTTCAAGAGTAACGAGGAGCACCCCAAGGAGCGAAGACCGTCCGACCATGAGCTGCGGTCGCCCGGCCCAGCCATTCGTCGCGCGTCAGCACCCAAGGCCCCGCAGTCTTCCCAGGGGTCTTCTTCCACTGGTAGAATTGGAATGGAAGAGTGAGTGTGAAAGCTGCGCCTCTTTCCTGTGCTGACCGCGCCCTTAGCGCCCTCGCCATGATTGCCTGGGTTACTCCACCGCGAAATTCCGCGACAGCCAAAGATCCCTCAGCGGGCCAAGTGGATCTTCTGCGGTATATGTTCTGTCCTGCTCCCGTCACACATCACGAGTGGCGGTACTCTGACGTGTCGTCGCTCGAGCAAGCGCGCGCTGGCACCTGCGATCTATGGGACGAGGAAGGCGGCGCACTCTGGGACGACGCCCCTAGCGCCGCACATCTCTCGCTGTGGGGAGGCGGTGAAGCCGAGTTGGCTTCGTGAGTTAGACCTAGATTTCGCGAACTGACATTGCAGAATGGCGATAGAGCTTATCGATACGTTCTTCGCCGTTGTGTACTCTCGGTTGCCGATACTGGACGCTCAGTCATTCATGAACCGATTTACGTCACCCAACACGGATCCGAACGGACCCCTCAACCCTGCACTATTGGCAAGCGTCCTCGCCTTCGGCGCAAAGTTCGCAGACCACCCTACCTTCACTGCGGACCGTGACGAGTGCGCCGCTCGAGATGCCGATGACGCGGACGGAAGTCGCAGCCGCAGGGGGTACTCACGTAGTCGGTGCCGCATGGCACAGCTCCTAGCTGTGCGTGCCCGGGAAGTGGCAGAGGTTCACAAGGCGTATCGCATTCCGACGCTCGCGAACGTGCAGGCGCTCATCCTTTTAGAGAACTTGTTTGGACGTGAGTGCGAATGAAGGGATTACGCTGACATGCAGAGGCTGCAATGACGAGACAGAGTGAGAAAGCTGACTGTGGGCATTCAACTCAGACAGCTGACAGCAGAATACCGAGCGACCTATCTCTCAGCTGCCGCCCGCCTCATGGATGAGCTCGAGGACCTTCCAATCCTGCATGTGGACTCCCAGCAGGACGAAAAGATCCGCACCCAGCTTACTATCCATCTTCTCGCCGGCTTTGAAACTGCCTTCTATCGTCTTCGTCCAGAAACGTAAGCTGTGTCTTCCTCAATAGTGTAGCTAACTCTCAGTTTCCAAGGTGTCGGCGATGTGGCTCCGCTGCTTTCCGTGGTCGCTGGAGGCGAGGAGGACGTAGGTGCTCTTCTTTTTCCATTGCTAACCTGCCAGATCTGGCTCGCTGCCGCCCGCATGGCCATCGCCGTGTACCGGCGGTTGAGCAGCGCTCTCGCGCAGCCGCAAGTGCACGCCAACGGCGTTCCATTGTCAGTCCTGCGGGACATGGTGCACGATCACTCGTCGTGGCGAGACCTCTACCTGTCCAAACTTGGCCTGCCAGTGCCGTGGCCAGAGGACTGGGACTTTAACATGACGGTACGGGCAGCGTCGACGGACATCCTGTACCATGCACTGTGGCTTGTGGCCGAACGCGCGGTCCGCGACTTCGGCATCCAGGAGCGCGAGGATAACTCTGTCACGGGCATGGTCGGCTTCGAGGTGACGCAGATGCGCGAGCGTCTGAAGCAGGAGGCGCTGCACAGCGCCATGCGCATTTCCATGGTGGCGGTGCTGAGCACGGAGCAGGGACATCTCCGGCTCGATCCGTAAGTTATCCAGCGGTTGGTGGAACTGACAAATCAGGCTCGCTCTGTGGCGCCCAATCTACGATGCGGGCATGTATCTCGCCCGTCAAGGACGCGACGAGTGTCTGGGCTGCTTCGCGGGATTGAAGCAGTACGCCGGCCCATACCCGCAGATGTGGGAGCACGCGCTGGAGATCGAGACGACGTTGATGAAGTCGAGCAACAGCTCCCGGTCGCGATGACCAGCGCGACGCGCCGAGTGTTCTCTCTGTATGTTTCCGGGCAACCAGCTTAGTGATATGTAGCGAAATGTACATACGTGTTAACTCTCTGTCCGGGTCCGAGTCGCACGCCATCAGTAGCACAGGAACAAGGTTCTCTTGATCAGCGATATCCGTGCGCAGCGTAAGCCAACCGTGAAGTAAACACCGAAGACACCGAGCCGATTACGGCGATAACATTGCCCTCTCCTGTGCATGCGCCGAGTCCCCAATGTATACTGGAACTCGGCATTCGTCGTCCACAGTACGAGGATGGCCAGGAAAAGGAGTAGTACGTGAGCAGCTCGTAACGATCGTCGTCCAGGTTCCGAGATGCAACCCAGGTCTAGGGTGCACCGGACGCCATACCGGACAGCCCGATTAAGGCGGTGACGTAACCCTACACTCGTCCACTCGCCGGCTGTGTCGTCCTCCCTGGCGGTCCTGAATCGATCGGCGATCAGCGTGTCAGCGTGTCAGCGCGTAAGACGACCGGTACGCCGTACGCCGAACACGCGTACACGCGAGCGAGCCGTGAGCTCTGCAGATTAGCGCCGTGGGTCTTCTCCGTCTCCTCCGCTCTCCGGCTTTCCCGCAGGTCTGCAGGGCTGGGGACGCTATTTCGGGCTACAGTCTGAATAGAAGGTTGCATCCGCAATCCATCTGACTTCCACCTGGCCAGCTGGGATTGTTGACATCTCACACATCCTCACTTCACCTCTCCCTCACCTACCTTACATCCAAACCTAATCAAAATGCCCAGCTGGCTGCATGCCTCGACGCCCGCCGCGATCAGCCTCGCGCCCTTCAACCCCCCTCTCGGTGTTTATCCCGAGATGGCGAGGGCCGAGCCCACCCTCCTCGCTATCAAGGAGGGTGTCATGAGCCTCTCCGGGGACGACTTCTCCGTCAAGGACCAGAATGGACAGACGGTCGTCAAGTGCAAGGGCAAGGCTATGTCCATGCGCGAGAGGAAGAGTGAGTACGCGAACAGCACAGCCACGAGGCCGACATCTACTCGTACCGCTGCTCCCATCCCCTTCTGAAGTCATCTGCCCTGGCAGAACGGACGCAAGCGTGCATTCCCCTTCAGACCACAATGCACTCACACGCTCCGCACCCATCGTGACCACTCGCTTCGCTCGTGATCGCTCGCTAACACGCAGTCATTACCGACCCCTCGGGCAAGGTGCTCTTCAACATCCACACGAAGATGATCGCGATCCACACGACGTTCGAGGGCGACGACGCCTCTGGCCGCGAGGTGCTCAAGATCCAGAAGAAGATGAGCATGGGTACCAAGATGGAGATCAAGTTCCAGAACGCGTCCGACAACGCCAAGGTCGAGCTCGACGTTAAGGGCGACTTCTGGGGCGGCTCGGCCAACATCACCCTCAACGACCGTCCTGTTGCGCACATCTCGCGCAGCATTGCCAACGTCCGCGAGGTCAAGTTCGACAAGCAGACCTACGCCGTTCAGGTCGCCCCTGGTGTCGACCTGGCCCTCATCGCCGCGGCTTGTATCTGCCTCGACGAGCTGAAGGAGGACGGCAAGGGCGAGAACTAGGTAGAACTAGGAAAGTCTGCAGTCTTGTTACAGTCCTGTTGAAGTGCAATACATGTTACATAAGTACCCTCTATGAAATAACCTAACACTCTCTCCGCTCAGGCAGCAGCGAAACGCCGCTGGCGCTCGTAGGCGCGCATCTCCTCGTCGAGGTCCGCCTGCGTCTTCTGCTTCGGCTTCTCCTTCTGCTTCCCCTTTGCGTTGGGGGGCGTGTCGACGTCCATCTTGTCCTTCTTCGCGCGGGCGACCTTGGCCGCACCGCCGGCCGGCGCCTTCGCGGCCGCCTTCTTGCCCGCCGCGCTCTTAGCGCCGGGCTTCGACTTGCCGAGGCGCGACGCGAGCACGTCGCCGGGGCTGCCCTTCTTCTTCAGCGCCGCACGCTGTTTCTCGAGAAGCCTGGGGTGTCAGCTAAATCGCACATGTCGGACAGCCGGCGGGTACGTACAGCTTCTGCTTCTGTTGCTCGCCCGCCTTGCCGCCCTTGCCCAGCCGCGAGAGAAGCTTCAGGCCAGGCGCCTTTCCGTCGTCCTTCTTAGGAGCCGCCGGCTTAGCCTTCGCAGCGAGCTTCTTAGGCTGCTGCGCCATCATTGGCGTAACTCGGCTCGTGATCGACGCGGGAGGAGCGACAGACGGGTGCGGATGCGTCGCCGGGAGGACATGGTGGACCGAAAGCGTGTGCGCTGTTGTCAGCTCGCTTCAGAACCGCGCAGCTAATATGAATGTATTCTCACTCACATCCATCAATCAGCTGTCCAGAGAACTGCTTGCGGACGCGCTCCGCGTCGGCGTCGGTGCCAACCTCAACGAGGAAGGTGCCGAGGAACACGCCCTTGCCGTTGTGCAGTGCGGTGACAGCGACGCTAGAGGGAGCAAGGCGCACCGGTTCCGCGACGAGGAGTTCCTGCGGATTGATCAGCGCATGTCCTTTCTTCCCTTGATGTTGTGGTCCGCTAGGTGTTGCAGCATCATGTCATCCGCCTTGCCTCCAGGGAAGACACCTTTGCAGCCACAGAAGCCGCGAAGCAAAGCCAACTTACAGCGAGATCCGGCTCGCGCACGTCCAGGGGCAGGCCGGAGAAGAGAAGGACAGAAGGCATGGCGGATCGGTCGATGTGGTCGCCGGTTGATTAGGTTGACATGAGCGAGACGCGCGCGTCGAAAGTCCAAAGATGACATTGTTGGCGGATCGAGCGGAAGCAAATCGGGCCGTGGTCTGGCGGGCGACGCGGGCGGCGCAGCCATGATCACCGATAGCGACAAATTCCTCTTTGATGGCGTCCGAGGGCCGTACAACTTCCAGAAAAACTCGCTGTGTAGGGGAGAGTAACAGTGAAGGTCTTGTTGTAAGGAGTGCTATAAGTGCCAAATGTGCGTGAATCTCTACCACGGAGGAGGAAGCCAAGATACGAAAGGCCCGCAGTAGTGTGTGTACTTGTATGGGCTTGCGGTGGCGAGATGAGATTTCTCGTGAGCCACAGATTGAGCTCGTTGCTCATATCAACTCCCCGTCCGCTCCCGACAATGCTCGCCTCAGCTCGATCGTTACACCAGCATTGATATGCATGTCAAGAAGTTGCCGAACAGAAGTCAAGCGACCACCGAAACCTTATTTTCCGTCGTTTTAATCCTGGAACGCGGTAGCCACGTGAAAGATCGGGACCTGGCTCTCAAGTCCGCTTAGCTCCAGCCTGGGCAATGTTCGCGATCCGACGCCGCCGTCATTTCCGCTTCCTCACATCTCCACAACAACAATCTACAATTGCTTGACCGCATCACAATCTGCTCGACCGTGTTTGTGTGAATATTGCTCACCCTAGCTTACCGATTCCTGTTGTCGTAACTTGGACCCGTAACCCGCGTCTCCTATCGCTCAACCAACCGCTACTCGGACATGTCCTCCTCCTGGCCACCCCAGCTCAAGTGAGTCACCGCAACAATTTCTCGGCCCGCGCTAACATCAAGGGAGTGGGTGCAGCAATGTCTCGCCAAAGCAACGTCGGCCAACAAAACAGCGGTTAACAACGAGCTGAAGCAGGTGAAACATCGTTTACATTCTTGGGCTGACAATAGATACTCTTCCAGGCCCACAAAGATGGCACAGTCAACACTACTGACTGGTCGAAAGTGGAGCTGAAGACGTGAGTGACGCTAGTTTACACAAAGCTAACAGTGCAGGTTGAAGCAGCAGGCGACGCGCACTCACATCGCCACTCCCACCAACCACTCGGCTTTGACTTCCTACGCTTCCTCACCGTCGCACACCCCCACAGGCGGCTACCTCAACAGCAATGGGCAAGGAAGTGGCTACACTAACACATACGCTACCTCTCACACGACGGCTCATACGACTACCCCTAACAAGAAGAACAAGAAAAACAACAAGCGGAAGCAGTAAGTCGACGATTGGACGACTAGCAGCTTATCCTCAGTGACAACCCCACTACATCGTCCTTCCCTTCCGCGTACACATTCGACACTACCGAGCAGGATGAGGCGAAGGCGAGACGAGCGGCGAGGTTCCAGAAAGAGGCTGAAGTGTTTAGGAACGGTGGCAACGAGCAATCAGGGCCGCACTACACTCCTGACGCCGACGCTGATCTGGGATCCAGAATAGCTGGTATCGGGCCCTTGCCGTCACAGGTAGGCAGGAAGAAACTCAAGGGCAAGGTGGGATTTGGCTACACAGAGCCTGAGCCAGAAGTGGACCCGGTAAGCGGATCGATCTCGACGTGCAGCTGACGACGACAGAACGTGATCAACTGGGACAAGTACACGATCAAGGGGACGTCGACGAAGCTAGAGAAGTCGTACCTGCGACTAACCTCGGAGCCTTCCCCTGCTGATATTCGACCGCTGCCTGTGCTCAAACAAACCCTGCAGCTTCTGAAGCAGAAATGGAAGCAGAATCACAATTACGCCTATGCGCTTGACCAGTTCAAGAGTATGCGTCAGGATCTGACTGTGAGCCAAAAGTGGTACTCAGCTAACAGCAGGTGCAACGCATCAAGAATGAGTTCACGGTCGAGGTGTACGAGATCCACGCGCGGATAGCGCTGGAAGCGGTGAGTGAGGGTGCTCTTGCCTCAGGCTGACCTTCTCAGAAAGATCTTGGCGAGTACAACCAATGTCAGTCCATGTTGCGGCAACTGTACGAACTCGGGATCAGTGGTCACCCGAAGGAGTTCCTGTCTTACAGGATCATGTACCTCCTGCACACCAAGAACATGTCTGGTAAGTCCGCGGCCAGTTCAAAGCCGTAGTCCATATCAGCTGAACTAACACACAGATATGACGTCTCTCCTTGCCGCGCTCACACCGGAAGAGAAGGAGGACCCGGGTGTGCACCACGCTCTGCAGGTGCATGCGGCGCTGGTGACGTCGAACTATGTGCGATTCTTCAGATTATTCCTGGAGGCGCCGAACATGAGTGGCTACATCATGGACCACTTCGTAGAGCGAGAGCGCGCTCAGGCGCTGGCGATCATGTCCAAAGCGTACATGACGCTGCCTTTGCCGTACCTAACGAAGACGCTGGCGTTTGAGGACGACGAGGAGACGGATCAGTTCCTATCCGCGCACAACGCGGCCGTGTACACGAACACGCGAGATCCGAAGGATCCCTGGAAGCCGATCGCTCTCAGCGAGCGCGTGTGGGACTGCAAGAAGGCGCACGGCGCGTGTGTCCATGCCACGCAGCAGTATCGCGTCGTCGACCTCAAGGGTCAGGTCGACTAAGGCTTTCAGGTCTGCGGATATGTCGACGAAGCGCAAAGTTATCTGGGTTGTTCCGATCACGATCGCCCGGGCGGCAGTTTCTGTCGGTTCGGTTATCAACACTCACAACGCGGCGCACAGCGTTCTATAACAGGCCCTGCGTATCAGGCGGCAACCCATACAGGCATCCGACTGTGCGAGGGGGACTCACGTGTTGGAGGAGATCAGGAGGGACAACGCAATGGTAAGACTCACTCACATCTGTTTGGCTTTCTCTTCTCTCCTCCTTACTCCACCACATCGTTTTCTTCACCACCCCTAATTGTTGTACTTGTTCCCGCACTAGACGCTCTCTCTCTTTCTGCTCAGCGGACGATGGAGCTGCTTATGCATCCTACTTCATATAAGATCATAATATACATTACACCAGAGCGACATATCGATTCGTCCAAGAATTCCTTGAGGGCTGGAATCTATAGAAACTGCCTACTCCTCCCGAAAAGAACTACACCAATGTCCGGTGGTTTCTAGATACCCTGGGTGTCGGCTGAGCGACTGCCAGGGAACGTATTATTGCTACAAGTTTGATAGGGGCTTAGATCGTTTTAGTTACTTGGCGTTTGGCGACCGTGACCAATCGCAATCTGATTAGATAGCTTGGTGGGAAGCCGGCGTAGGGGCGATCCGCGGTCCGGCGATCGTAGAGCGATCGGCGACTGCTTGGCTTAGTCGGCCAGTCGCGGCCCGTCTTGGCGCTCCCATTGTTCACATTCTTCGGCTTTCAAAGTCCGTTGAGCTTCTGATACTTCTGACGTTTCTTGCTACTTTTGCTGTCTTGTCGCTTTGCTGTAGTCGTACAAGGTGGGGATAGATGTCGTAATCAGAGGAACCGGAACACACTTTGGTCCTTCGTCACGGGGCCGAAGCCCTGCCAGACGGCGCACTGGTACTCGTCGCCTTTCCATGCGAGCGTCTCGGCAAGCGTGAGGAAGCCAAGCTTGGAGTGGAGCTTGGTGACGACGTTGGAGAAGCGGGGGTAGATGGACACGAGGCCACCGGAAGGCTGGTTGAGGAACCAGAGCTGGAGCAGGGTGCGCAGCGTCGACTGAGGGCGTCAGTTTGTCTGTCCAAGAACGCCGAGCATGTCAAGGGATAGCCAAGAATGGCCCGAGGGGATGTAAAAGGAGAACACGAGGTCAAATGAGGTCAAGAAGTGTGGGATATCGGTCTGATTACCGAAGCATTGGTCATCATAGGCACCGACGAGAATCCGTCGGAGACGCAGAGAGAGAGCACAGGAACTGCGACGAAGTGATTTCGAGAATGTGGTACCGCATGGTGCACTCCCGATTAAGATTCGTGCCACCTCGTTATCACGCGTGCTCCGCAGAGGCTCCGCCCTCGGCCTGCCTCCACACCTCGGCTTTCATCCCGGCGCCCGGCAACAATGGTCATCGCATCCCCGCTCTACCCAAGCGCACCATGTGGTCCACTCGCCGCGACCTCGGCTCCCGAGCAGGCCAGCGGCGCCGACATGCATGGCTCCATGCTCGGTGGCCAACAATGCGCTACAGGAAGGATACGCTGCACCGTTGCACATGTTCTTTCTTCTTCATCTCTCACCGTCTCGATCTCTCTCTTCACCAAAACTCATACCTCGCAGATTCGGCCCGCCACTGCACCGCCCGCTCCACACGGACCACGTCACTCACACCACTCATCTCCACTCATTCTCCGCTCGCGCTCGCGGTTCTCCCGTGCTCACCCAGATCTCGCAACGGATCGATCCGGGATATACAGGTTTCAATGGTATGGTACAGTGGTGCAGCATTCTCGGGCTCGGGCTAGAACATGATTGGGGAAGAAAGAACGCGCAAGGATGCACTCGGAAACGGTACTCACAGTAGCTACGCCCATACCCATGTAGGTCGGGTCGACGACGGCGCCGAACATCCACGTGTTCTCCTCGGCTTCTGCACCGGGGATCCACGTGCGGAGTGTCTCGCGCTCTACGGGTTCGAGGATGATCAGACCGACGATATCGTTGAAGTTGCTGCTGCGGCGAATCACGTTGTATCGCCAGCCGGGTTGGCCGTGACCAGGGAGGGAGGTCTGCTGGCCGACGCGAGCTTGAATGCTTGCGCGAAGCGTTTGCTCGTCGGTTTCGGGGAAGGGAGAAGGGGAATAGGAGCTGCTGCTGGAGGGGAGAGAGGCGAGGGAAGCCGCGCTAGAGGGATAGCTGCTGTGCGCCGAGGAGGGGAAGGAAGGCGCGTTGTTGGCGAGCAGCTTCGCAATGAGTTTGCGTCCCGCTGGCCGCGGAATGGAGCTCACAAGCTGCACCAGCCTTGACACGTCGCCCTCCTGGATCGACGATACGCAGAAGCCGCGAGGCATCGGGAGGTGCGGCATAGGCGCGGGCCGGATCAGTGCCAGCAGATCGCGCGACTCCTCAACTGCTGGCGGAGGCGGCATCATCATTGCTCCACTCGGCGCCGACATGTACGGAGCCATGAAGGGCGTCAGTGGGGGAGTCTGGATCGGGCTGGGCACAAGAGGCGCCAACTGCATGTCGAAGTTGACCATCGACGGCGTGTGCAGACTGGGGCTCTGCGGGGACAGCGTCGATTGCCGGAACGGCGTCGTCGGCAACGGCACGAGACCAGCGGCAGCAGCACTCAGCAAAGCGACGCCTTCCTCATCACCGGTACCCGCGGACATCGAGGACACATCTGGAAGTAGAGACTGTTGCATCGTCTCCATGTGCTCCAGCGACTGGCCCGGTACGAAACCCTCGTGCGATCGAGACAACTGGGGCGTTGGCGGCTGTTGCCCGGCGTGGCCAGTCTGGACCGGCATGCCCGGTTGACTAAGCTGGTACGGTTGGGAGGCCACTGGTGGCTGTGGCTGCTGCGCTTGTCCGAGGTGCGCGTATGACGTGCCGTCGTAGGGCGCGTACAGTCCAAGCGCGCTCTGATCGTCATCGTCGCAATCGTAAACACCACCCCTTCGCATGATGGAGACGTGCCTAGGGATCCTCGAAGCTGCGAATGGACGGAATGGAGAGAATGGGCTCAGGCGCTGTTGGAAGGGCGGCTGGTCATAGTCGTTGTCTTCCCACTCGAGGGTGTCGAAGCTACCGTCCAGTCCCACGTCGAAACTGTCGAGGCCGAAGGCTGACGCAGCTGATCGCTTCTTAGAGTTGATGTTCTCTGGTGACGTCGAAGGGATCGGAAGGGTTTGCGACGGCTTCGGCAAGTTGCTGGAACTTGGGGGAGACGAGGTCGAAGGGGAGGGGGATTGGGCGGAAGAGGGGGACGACAATGAAGAGAACGGAGGAGGAGAACAAGAAGAAGGAGAGTAGGGGAAGGACAGGTAAGTGACGTTGGACTCCAGAGCCGATGAAGGTGCACAGGTAAGTGTCGATGAGGTCGTGGTCATTGTTGATAACCGCTCAAATGAAAAGATGTTTTAATTCGCTCCAGACTCGACTCGCGAAGGCGATTGAGGGCTAAAAGGCGAAGACCGCAGACCTCGAAAAGTCGCCGATAGAGTGCTCAGGGTGACAAACAGGAGAGAGTGAGGGGTATCGGACCAAGCGAAGGGAGTTGAGGGCTTGTCGGAGCAGTGGAGAGAGATAAAGGTCTGTGGAGACTCGAGTTGAAGGTACGAAAGCCAGTGGCGATGCTCGAGGAAGGGTACCGAGCTCAGGACAAGCAGCTGATGATCGGAGGTTTGGGCCTTGCAGCGTTGAGTGTATGCGAGGTCTGCCGGTCTTGCTCCGAGATTTGCGTAGGCTTTAGATAACTCCAGCCAGTGGGCCGGGCAGTGCACTGATGTAACCGTTGAACCGATGCCGGATCCAGGATACGCAGTAGTTAGGGAGTATGCAGGAAGGTGCGCGATTCCGACAGGTGTCGTTTGCCGAGAGCACAGCGCTGGAAAAGATGAGTTGTTAAAAGCCAAACGAGCCGTCGGTCGAGCTCAATCGAGTCAGGCTGTCGAGCGGCGCGAGCCGTCTCGTCGGGCTGACAAGGGTGACGAGGATGCGAGGATCAGGACCGGGCTGACTGATCAAGCGGACGACCGCCGAGGGTCAAGGGCTTGGGGTTATGCGTAGATCGCGTAAAGAAGGAGAGATCGAGGAGGCGAAGCACTAGGCGGAACAAGGATGATCAGTGGTGAATCAGAGGGTTCAGACGAGAGACGAGCGACGAGACGGAATAGACGCGCGCACGCACACGCAATCCAAGGCTTGCGGCCTGTGACTTCAGCTCATGATGCAGCCTTGGCTATGCAGGCGCCAGGCGCAAGACGGTTCAAGGCGGAGCATCGCGGGGCAGTGACCGCTTGAATGAGCCATGGTATGAGGGAGGGCACAGGCATTTCCAGGCATGAGAGGGAAGCGGCGCGCCTGTTCGGCTTTGCAAGCGGCAGAGCAGAGGCGGAGGAGAGCGAGGGGAGCAGATCAATCGAGATACGCTCGGTGCATTCACTAAGACCTGTGCTGGTACCCTTGGGCTGGTTGGGACAGTCCTCTGTTTCGTTCGGTAGAAGACGGCGACACGGGCAATGACCAGGGCAAGGGCGACAAGGGCGACATCGGAGAGGAACAGGGGGAACGAGGGTATGGAAAGAGGGAGGCGCATCAGACGAGAGGATGGTGTCATTGCGGGGGTGTGCAGTTCCATGTTCCATTCAGGCCCGAAGCCGAGAGAGACGGACAGATTGCAGAGGGGCCAGAGGACCAGAGCGGAGGATGCGAGGAAGCGCCCCCGAGCCCCAGCCTCGGGGCGGTGAAGCTGCAGCCTTTCAGCCTGAAAGATAATGGAAGCAATGATCCGGAGGGGAAGCGAGCGGAAGCGTTATTTTCGAGCTGAGATGGCAGATTGATTTCCTCGATACATCCGGGGCCCATCGGACCTCTGCGTCTCGTCCCCTCTGCCCTCCGAGGCGGCGAGCGTGAACGAGGGTATCGATGAGGGTGCCAGGGCAATCAAGGCATAAGACGGAACATGCACCAGGGCCTGCACGTCACTTATTCGTTGAAACATGCCGCAGGTACTGATGTTAATCTACCAACCCTCACAAGCCACAGGCTGTTGGTCGCCATGACCTGTCCAGGTTTGCAAGGGCGGTGCAGCAGAAGGAAAAGAACGAAACCACTTCTTCAGCTCCTCAGCCGTCGGGCTCGCGGGCAAAAGGCGCTAGCGCACTGGCGCACTGGTGACAAGCCTTGGCGTTGCTCGCTCGGAGCGGCGTACGTGAAACCGCGTCAGCCCTGGACCTTGACCCCTCGACCCTGGGCTGGGGATCTCACAAATACCTGGGATTCCTGGCGACATACGCGACAGTCTAATGCAGACTACGCGAGGAAATGACCATGACTTCCGGATATCTCTGCTTTGGATCGTCAACCACAAAAGCATTCCAGCCATGCTGGCACAAAACTCATCGCAATGCAAGTCAGCATCATCTAACAGGCGAACATTCCTGTGCTTAATAATAGACGGCCGCAACTGTGTTTAGACGACGGAACGCTACGTCGGTACTAAGCCCGTGATAGACGACGCCGGCGACGCGCGTGCTGGCCGGCGAGGGGCGCTCGTTTGTCAGACAGGCAGGGGGCTGAGCGATGAGTGAGTTGTCTCAGACATGCCTCAGATGCCCGACGGCGTTGAACGCCCCAGGCTCGCTCTAGACTCTTAAGCTCGGCGCTAGCGAACAGCACTGCGACGACCTCCGGATAGTTGCTCCGCATCCACCCGCAGACAAGCGCCGTGCCCGATTCCCCATGCGCCAGCGCGCCAGGCGGATGTAGTCGACCTTGCACACCTTCCGTCGTTGGGTTATTGACCTCTTACAGCACCGTGACGCATGGGGTCGCTATTGCCTCGGTGCTAGCGTACAAGATCTCTTCCGCTGAGTCAGACGTACCGGGTTTAGCGGCAAGTTTGCCAACTCCATCTTGCCATTCCCATTTGCAGGTTAGATCTGTCATACTTTCAACAAGTAATTCCTGGGCATTTCCCGGTACATCGGGGAAGTCTGAACACCCATTGGCCACCCATCAGTGCACGGGACACATCCCGCAGAGTTCCCCGACGTCCCTTTGGTCTCCACTCTATAGCTCTACTTCCCGCGCATAAGCGGGCAAATGCAGCGGGCTCATGCCTGTGGGGACACTTGCGGGACGATCAAGTATCGCCTTCTGACGACCTAACGGGTCCCTCGCCTTCTGACGACCTAACGGGTCCCATTGATCTTCATTCATCATCTGGCAAAGCGGCAATAAGCACAATGGTGGTCACGACAGCCTCGGCTCACGTCTCCAGCTTCTGTTGCAGCCCGTCGTGGCCGTCTATTGATCGACCTCCAGTCGGTCACCGAGGACGCTCGATCTACTTTGTTCCAGCTGCACGCCTCATGCCTCATCTCACATGCATCTCACAGTGCGCACGACGTTGTCCCCAGTATCACCACAGCACGCGTTCCCAATGCTCAGATTATCTGTAGCCTCGTAGCCCGCGGGCAGGAACCAGCAACAAGGCTCCAGGCACTGGCGTCACTGTACCAAACGTCAGAGCGTCCGAACAGCGTGGTGCCTATACCTAAGGGACCAGGCATGACAGGGCCGAAGGGTTTATGACGATCACAGAAGGCCACCCTGCGCTCCAACGGGACCCACCGAAGCAGTGAGGCAGAGGAGCACGCACGCGCGCAAGGCGCTTAATGTGCATACAGCAAGGCGATGCAGGATAACGCGGGCGATGCAAAGCCTATCTTTGGATTTGAGAGATTTGAGATTTCCTCTGGCGTCTTTCTGGCTTGAGCCATGAATTCAGTCGTAACGAAACCCCGTCAATTAGCATGCGCGGCGCCAGTAGCCAAGATACGAGACATGTCAAAGAGATATGAGTCACTCATTAGCTTCTGCTCTTCTGACAGACCCCCGATGCGCCAAGGCTCTAGGCGTGAAGGCCGCGCGGCTCGAGGAATGCGGCGGAGCAACTCTTCTGGCTGAAAAAAAAGTTCAAGACGGTCAGGGCAGTGCGTCCAACAGCGCCTCCCCGTTTGCGCTCTTTCAGCATTTCGGCGTTGTTGCATGTTGCAGCGCTTTCTCGTACACCTCGCATACTTGCGAATTCCGCGTGCCGTGTGCCTCCTCGTATGCTCGTCGTATGTTGCCGGGCTCAGGGTCCCAGCATACAGGCAATTGGAGCCAGGGCGCAGTGACCTCTGCCGTGCCGCGTTCCTGGCCACGGGGTCCTGGAACGTATCTGTTCCCTGCCGATCCCTCCATCTGGGAGCATCCAACCAGTCCAGTCAACCACCAGCCATCCGCAGTGTTATCACGCACCGCGGTACAGTCATCTCCAGTCAGCTATTCCTGGCGACAGAGGCTAGTGTATGAGCTGAGTACTGGTCACCCCTGCGCTAGAAGTTTGAAGGCCGCAGACCTCCGAACTGGGTCCCCGGTCGATCATGCCGAATCAGCTTGCTATCTCGGTCGAAGGGGCGTACAAGCAGGGAATGGCCGTGCTGCAAGCCATAGAGCATCTTTGTCGTTTGCATGGGCGTGGACTACATCGTGGAGTGCTCTGCGGCTGACATGAACGCTAGCTTCGTCGCATCTAGCGGGCTAAGTGTCCCAGCCCGTTTGGACGACTCCCGCGTGATTGCACAACATGCCACACAGTTTGCGGCGACTTTGACGCTCAGCCTCGCGCTGGCGTCTGCGTCGAGGCATCGCCTCGTCGAGCACACCCGTCCCCACACTGCACTGGACTCTTAGTCGGTCGGACCGCAGTGGCTCCAATCGCAGGCATTCCTCGATCCTCAAATGAAGCACGCTCAACACATGCCTCGTGTTTGTCTGAGGATGGAATGCCCAGACATCCAGGGCTTCCAGGGAGTAGAAAGTACAGTCACCTCCGAACACGAAACATGGGAATCCGCGATTCCGGCTTTCCTGTCTATCCGGATAGACCGGGCATGCCGCGTGCCAACGTGCCAGAGCGTGGAACGACACGTAAGTCTGACTGGACTGTGCCATGGGTTGAGTCAGTCGTCAATCCTCAAGTGAACGCCTGGCCCTCGATTGCCCTGTTGGATCACCATCGTGTGCACCGTGTGCCCTTGTGTTGCGTGCCCCGCTTGGTCAGCGCGACGCCAATCCTGGATCTCGCAGTCTGTCCATCTATTGCGATCCGCGCTCAGGGCTCGGCTGGCGCGGATGGTACGGCTGGGACGCCTGGGGCGGCAGCTGGACTTGTCGTAGACGGCATATTCGCGGCCTCGCGGACCGATGAACGCACCGCTGTGCTGTCGGACCTCGGCATGCTCACCAGCCTCTCACGTCGCTCACCGATCACCGACAGCATACCGGAATACCGGGGTGACCGGGTTTGCTACCACCAGTCTAACTGCGGACGGCGTCG